GTTCGCAACGCAAGGAAATACAAATTCTTTACATGTATTGTCCCGTTTTTCAAGAATAAGCGTATACAATTATCAAGAAGTTTGCATGTATTGTGCCGATTTAGAGAATAAGCGCATATTCGTTCTCAATAATTCAACAGGTCTTTGTAAAAAAGCAACAAATTCAAACCATCTGAGAAAATACAAATTCCATACAAGGAATTGGAAGAACGATATGCGGCTGTTCAAACAGTTCGTACCAGTTTAACACGTTTGGTCATATACTTGGAAAAGGAATCAATGAAACTCGGTAGACTACCTAGTTCCACAACAGACTGATTGTAATTCGGAGTAAAAAAAGTTTTTATTGTCTTACTTTATAATTTCTTTTAAAAATGCTTTGAGTTGTATTTGTTCCATTCACAACCTTTCTTATATTGACTGTTTACTTTCTTCTTCCAATAAAGTGGAGGTTGGAAGATTATGTAGAATTTAGAAAGCTTTCAATTATTCATTTGAGAAGCAAATAGTATTTTCAGGAAAAGAAAAAACTATCAGAAAACCCGGAGAAAAAAAATATATTTTCGAAGAATCTGAAATTTAAAAAACGTTGAAAATAGCCAGACGTTCGACACCTTCGACTGCCATATTCAAAAAAGCAACATCGTTACTGAAAGCTGATCCAGCGCAAATCCGCCGTACGAACATTTACTCGTCGTAAATTTTAAAACTCTGTGCCGAGAGTATTGAGCGACTTAGCATTGAGGAACCCAGAACTTGCCAACAGACCGGTGCGAGCGCTTTGTATACAGAATTGAAAGTTAAAAATGAACAATTGACACCTCATTCCCATGTCATTAAGACGGCGCAAAAATGGTTGAATTTTGAGGGGAAAAATAATCGTATGCATAAAATCCCTCTAAAAACCATTTTACCGAAAGTTCAAATGACTCATGTAGTACTAAAGAAGCATTTGCCGCGTGATGTCGAAGTAGACCGTCGAAGGAAGCAATATGCAAAAATCAATTTGGAAGCAGAATTTGAGAAAGCCGTGCAGGTACGTAATGAGGCCGAGACTGTTGTCATGCTGAAAACAGTTTTATACAAATACTTGAACAATTATTCAACAAATGATTTTCAAATTGGACGCTTATTCTCACATGCACGCAAACATCTGTTGGTTTATTGAGAATCATTTTCAGTTTTATACGCTTATTCTCGTACATGGCCAAATTTTTATACAAATACTTGAACAAATATTGAGAATCGTTTTCAGTTTTATACGCTTACTCTCCTACATGGCCAAATTTTTATACGCTTATTCTCGTACATGGCCAAATTTTTATACAAATACTTGAACAATTATTCAACAACTGTAAACAAATTGGACGCTTATTCTCACATTTTTCGAATTATTGAGAATATATGCGCTTATTCTCGTATGTGGCCAAATTTTTATATGCTTATTCTTGTATGTGGCCAAGGATAGCTCTGGCTTCGGTTGTGAACGTTGAGGGACTTTCGTGAAAAATGTGATTGAGAAAAATCTGCCCTGTAGCATCTACCACTGCACAAGCAGGAGGCAGGCCAAAAGATTTTGAGCCGTCTGTGTATAAAAGATTCCAACCGGTACTGTCCAATACTTGGGTTTTTTCAGCTATTAGATTCCTGAAGACGTAATTTGGAGTATCTTCTTTCTTGTGCATAGACAGTGAGATGTCAAAAGAGCAGTGTTTCAAAATCCAGGGAGGTTTAACACCAAAAGGGCGAAAAATATTTAAGGGAATGTTCAATTCCTTTGCGACGTACAAACAATGGTCAATTGCAGATGGTGACTTTGCATTTTTCTTCGCAATAATAATCTCTCTCACGTCATCACCGAGAACAGATTTGTTTGAATTAAGAAGCTTGGGAACTATTTTGGCTTTTAACTCATAAAGTCGGCGTGGTCCGAAAAGCATAACAACTTGCTCTGACAGCTTGGTGATAGACCAGTTTAAGGAAGTTGATATTAGATTTGCAGCTATTGCCATAAATTATCAAGGCATAGTCAATCCTGCTTAAAATAAACATTTTGGTAAGGTAAGCAATAGTGTTAACGTGCGCATGGCTTTTCCAAGTAACGTACTGTATGAAATTCACCCTTGTTAAAATAGAATTTTTTTATCGAAGACAGTGTGATTTCCAAAGATGCTTGTTGGAAAAACTGAGCCCGAGAATATGCAGCGTCTGAACGTTTAGTACTGGTAAGCCATTAATATGCATCAGTAGATTTCCTGCATCGCATATCTGTTACTGTTTACACATATGTGTACAAAAGCATACGCACCATTGCATAGAAATTAACATTATATCAGAATTATAGCGAAACCATAAATAAGTATGGATAATCTTTGCTGCACATAACAGTGCTACATATTTCCAGTATTCGTTACGTTGTCAACTTCATTATTCGATAATGATATCAACATCGTTATCATTCATAACTTCGTTATGTCTAATATCAAGGTTATCGTTTGCAATAGCAAACAGTCGGCATATCTTCATCGTATTTTTTTTATATAACATATATAACGTATATATACAATTTGTTTAGTAACTAACATAATTTAGGTAATCATACATCTATATCCACAAATTATAAATTAATCTCCCTTTTCATTAATACAGAGATATTGATATTGTTTTTGTTATTGAAAGTAATAATATGAATTAAAAAGAAAAGAAACAGAATACATGTAAAAATGTGTTAAAGTAGTTTAGAGGGTCGTCGAATCCAACCTCGGTGTATCCTATTGCAAATTGAAGGGGATACAGGTTGGGTAGGGTGAAGAATGGCCCAGGGTTTATGATCTGCCCTTTGGGTAAGTAGGTTTCGTCCGCTCGCTGTTGCCGATAAGGGCCAAAGACGTGTATTTCGTTCCTACTATCTGTGGAGTGTCCGTGGAACAGAAATTTAAAACCTTCCCATATCTCACGAACTAGCCAGCTCAGCAATGAAACGTGCGTCTATGTTTACAACCTCCGATACTCTTCAAATGGCACTTAAGAGTAGCTCTAAAAATAATGAAGTCAGCAGCACGATAGTTAGATAGACAGAGAGAATTGCTACAGGCATAACTTTACAAACAATATTTGAGAAACGCAGATTTATTCTTGGTGTTTCCTTCTTAATTAAGTAAATCAATTGCACTATCGATGCGCCGACATTCCTTGGTGAGATAAACTTCAATGTACCGCACCGTTTTATAACGGATTCTTTATATTCCATCAAATCCATTCGAGTGTGCCGCTGTGTTCAATATGTACATGCTGTGTATTCACACATGAAATTTGTTGTATTTATTTATTTAAATTTTTTTCATTTTTCTTCAAATACTTTCTAATAGTTGGTAATACTCGGCATTAGATTTATATCTAAAAGTTCTTTAATTTCAGCTGTTATTTTAGCTGAACTTCATATGAAAATATATAAATAAAGAAAATAATAACAGAAGTTGTAGCCCATTTGACTCTTCGACCTTTCATTTGTGTGTGCTTGTTTCTTGTAAAGCAGAAGCATATACAATTGTGTTTTTAAGTGAATATGCGCCATAGTTTACATATAAGTGGATATGTAGGAAAAACAACAAACAACAGGTAGATAACAAATATGATTTCTTTTCCCCTCATCATTTATTACATTTCAAAGAACTCCTTAGTGTGTCCTTTTTGAAAAGCAAAACAACGATGTATTTGTGAAAACAAAACAAAATCATGTGACAATTACTTCAAACTTAAAATGGGAAAGATTAAATTAAATAAAGATTATTTGGTGCAACATAAAATTAAATGATGTGGTGCCACAGAAATTTGTTTGAAAAAAAATTTTGTAGGAGTAGCTAACCAGCACAGTATCCCAATAAGTATACAACAGGGAAAAAAGGAAGTCAGTTTCAAGTAGCGCTTCAAAACGTCTAGCCAGATGGAAAATAAAGATTTTAAACTAAACCGGCAAAGTTGTAAGATAAGTCGTCTATTTCACTTTCGGGTTGCTTCAAAAAATTGTGTGTATAATATCTTGTGTGAATACGTTGATTATATTTATTTTATTATGAAAGAAAATCCACATTTTGATTTCGATTATTTCATGTTATGTTTTGGAGCATGTAACTATTACTTCTTTGAATTAATATATGAAAACATCCTCAAGCGCTTCTGTTCTGATCAATTTGGCTCAGTTTTAATATCAACCTGCGGGTGAACACTTCCAATGTTTCTACCAAAGTCGATATCTTCATTTTTGCGACCAGTAGAATGCCAACAATACGCACCAAACAGACACACACATATTCCTAACATGATGTGTTTAATAATCACGCAACACTGTACTAATTATGTATGTATATGAATGCATTTTTATTACATGACAAAAACAATTAAAAGAAGAATTTAATTAAGGACTTTACAGGTTCAAACCGAATGCTTAATACAACCACAAGTGCATTTGCATCATTTAAACGCAGAAGATTCGGTTTTATTATATGTTTCAAGATGCGAAAATTGTCAACACTTGCTACGCGATAAGAAGCACTGCTTTTTGGGTGCTAAAACGGTAAAAATATTAACGTCGGCTATAACAAACAGCACAAACAGTACTCGAATTAATTCTTTGACTCACAGTTAGCTCAGTTAGCAGAAAATTTTATATTAATTTCAAAGAGCATCTCTGCCATGACATCTAATGGAAGAAAATTAAGTAACAAAACTATATATATATACATATATATAAACTATATTCCCTTGACTCGGGCCGCGGCAATCGTCCATTAAAATCAATCTGTAATAAGTAGTGAAACTATATTCTAGGCTACGATTTTTCTCAATCATTTCTTTGACATTTTGGTTAAATAAGATTCGTATGCAGAATACCAGCCAACGCATTTAATGACATTTTATATACTTTCGATGCGGAATTTCGCTATGTTTGCAAAGTGTTTACAACTGTTTACAACTGTTCAAGACTGTTTAAGACTGTTTAAGACTGTTTAATAAGATTATTATATCGCGTTCCTAAAAACAACCAAGCGAAATCAACATTAGTATTAGTTGCAACATTAGTGTAATTTTACGAAAGTTATACCTGTCCTTAGAATTCCTCTACAGTATCAAGTTTAGCTACGTCGACATCAACAAAAAGGTCGCGCAATTGTTCAGCTTGCTTTACGAACGGTGTTATGATGCCAATGGATTTTGGTTTAATATCCTTACGATACAATTTGACTGTCATTAGGAAAACCTTCAAAAATGAAATAAATGTTATAAAATACTAAATAGAAGGGATTCTGCTTTTAAACTAAATACAACTTACGTCCTTCGCTTCGTAAGGTTTATAGCAGAACGGCGAGTCTTCTACCTGCATATCTTTACTACGCATTCCGCAGAAGAATACGCCATGTGTTTTGTGTCGAGTTGGTGATTGCGGCAGTATATCGTCAAGTTGTTTCAGCATTTTAGCTTCTCTGGAATTTTTTTTTACTCTTGTGTTCAACCTATATGTTGCAATTTTGGAGATATTCTGAGAAAATTTGATGCATTGGCGTGCTGTGTACCAAGGACAGAATGGATTGTATCGGACATGTATCCGACATCATTGAGGGCACCTAGCGCTGCTTGAGCAGATTGTAGAAAGATGACAAAAATGGAAAAATTGCCAAATTTTCGAAATTTTCAACCATGATCTATCTATTCAGAGCGAATCCAAGTGCCAATAGAGGTGCTCAGTGTTCATATGATTTTCACGTCTTTCTGAGCCGGTGTGATGAAGTCTAATTATTTATTTACACATTTTTAACGTGCCAGCCTTTCTTTTTAAATTTATGGTATTTGATTATCCTACCGAACTTTTATTGTACTACTCGAAGCATTATCCTGCTTCAAGTAGGATAGTTGTAATCTTAACATTGCATATCTGAACTGCCAAAGTATGTCTTGCTAACATATGCACAGATGGACTTGGGAGACTTTTTGAAGCTAGTACCACATCACTCAATAAGTCCCCTATCTGTCAAATACATGATACTACAACTTGTAAACTAATTGTTAGGATGTCATGAAGTTTTGATACGTTGGTAATTTCCAGAAATCGTGTGGGTCTCTCAATCGTGATGTCATGTATGTAACAGAAAGAGGATTTAGTAGGTGATATGTTTTCTCTGAGAGTTTTTCCATAAGTGGATCATGGCAAAAAATAATATATCTGATGCGTTTTACTAAGGTATAGTTTGTCGAGATATGATCGGGCATAGCCTAGATAGAGAAAATTTGGCTTATAGATTTCCCGTAAACATTATTATAGGGTAATGTTTCGAGTCCTCGAAGAAGGGATCCGTGAGTCTGTATTCGTTGAACTAACCGTGCACTCGGTTGGAAGAAGATATAATGCTTGCTATGTAAAAAAATGCTCTGAAGGTAGATTTCCATTGCGATTTGCTTCAGATTTTAAATGCGATTTACTTCAACCGGCAAATCTTTTAACAAAGGAGCCATGTGTTTTAGAATGGTCTCTGTTGCAGAAATAGTTGCTTACTGACACATTTCAGTGTTCATCCACTATTGATTACTTTCTAACAAGTGAGAATCTTGATTGGAACAATGTGCTCCAACTGTTGCTCCTAGACTGTCTATTACTTGTTGATTTTTTATTGCTTTTCTTAGTATTACCAGGGTTGAATAGGTCATTTATTATAAAAATTTTGAGATTGCTAACACGAACAACTATAAGTTATTTACAAGAGAATATCTTTCCAATATATTAAGTTAATTGCGAAGACTTTTATGTCGAATTTCTAAAGAGGATAATGCATAATATTCTAATTCTTTCCACTGAGCCTACATACTCACATAATGAAATCCTCAACTGGGTCCATTTCGCTGTTCTCCCCATTTTATTTATTAGAAAGTTTACTGTAAATTGCATAATCCTGTAAACAAATTGACAGCAAACGGAAGCTTACAGTACATTTTTTTAAAAGTCCCGCTATAATAAATGTGAAACAAATATGTAGTAGTGAAGAAAACGTCATGGGAAAATGAAAAATTTATTAATTTAAAAAGGATTGTGAAGATGGAATATACGTTTTCGCATATGATGCACGAGCAAGTGCAGTCACAGCCTCTAATTTCTCCCCAACTCAACTACCTGTAAATCCTACCGTTCCCAAAGCGGATGACATTTTCTTAACGGCAGTACTCCCCGGAAAGGAAATATTCGAGTCAAGATTGACGCCGGTCACCTCTGAGGATAATATAAAAAGCTATTTTGTTGCTAAAGTTCCGTTCGTCTATTTGTTAGCATTTTCAAGTTGGCTCTATCTCAACATAAGATGATTAGGGTGTTAGTACCGACAGAAAGCATGGAAATTTTTTTAAACAAATGACGGAATTCATTCCGCAGGATCGTCCCCGTAAAACTGAACGTTTCTTAAGGCCTAGTAACTTTCAGTTACCAAAACGTTAATGGTGTAAACTCAAAAATCCACTTTCCTAAATTCAGTGACCACAGAGTTTTCTGTTTGGCTATAACTGAAACCTGTTTAAAGCCAGATTTACATTCGCCAGAACTTTTTCACAATTCTTTGAAAATTTTTAGAAATGGTCGATTGGATCATACTGGTGCTGGTATTTTAATTGTCATACCATATCTGCTGCAATTCCGTTCTATTCAATTGAATTTCATACTTCTTCCGACGTTGAATTTATTGCCATTCGGGCGAAAATTGCCAATAAACAGTTATACGTAACTTCCTCCTATATTGCCCCAAATGCGGATATCTCTTTTGATAAGAAACATTCTGCCCTCATAGCATTAGGAGACTTCAATTTGCCACAAGTCACTTGGTATAAGAGTAATAACTCTGGCTGTATGGTCCCCACTTCAACATTTGATAGAGGGATTGTGTTCTGCAATGAATTACTTGATCGTAATTTACTTCCTCCCGGAGATACTTGTAAGTCGCTGTCCACATTTTAGTTTATGTGATGATCCGTATCATCCAACAATTTGTATTTCGTTTTATTACAGGCACGATGGTCCATTAAAGTACTCTAACGTGCCAAATCCAACATCCTCCAATAAATATTATGAATTTAACAAAACGAATATTTAACTGCTTAAATATTTTGCTCGACTTTTCTGTTGCAAATACTGAAACTCTAATGTCATCTTTCTATAATGTATTAAACCTTGCTATTTCCGCAACCATTTCGATCAAGCAACCTCGCCCTTAAAACAAGTGTCCGCATTGGTTTAACAAAACATTTAAATATTACGAAAATAGGAAAATGAATTTTTAAACAAGTTTATGAAAAATGGTTCTGCTTACGACTATTTCGCCTACTGCTGCAAGCCATAGATTTAATTACCTCAACCACCGAAGTAATAACAAGGATCTGCAATAGCAAATACCTTGAATTGATAAACTCCTTGTTGTTTGTTAATCCTAAATATTTTTTTAAGCTTGTCAACTCCAAAAGAAAAATCTCTTTATATACCTCGTTTGTTTCTTTTAATGAGTCTTCTGATGATGTTGAAACCTCAAATCTGTTTGCTGAATACTTCAGAAATTTTTCACATACGGATTCCAATTTAACTGTCAACTATGCGTATCTGATCACTAACTCGGTCATTTCAAAAAGCGGCATTTCACATATTTGAGGTCTCTAAAAAAAATGTTTTGCGGCTGGGCGTGATGGGCTTCCATTATATGTGCTCAAATTGTGCTCTGACTAGTATGATTTACGATGTCATTTCAAAGATTTTTAATCGGTCCTTGATATCAGGTGTTTCTGTCGAAAGAGTAGTTTCCTTATTCCGCTTCAAAAACGTGGAAACAGACATCACGTTGAGAACTGTAGAAGCATCGCCATGTTAAGTTTCTCACCTAAATTCTTTGAGCAAATTATTACTCAGCATTTAGCTTTTGCTATCAAATCTTACATTTCTCCATTCTAGCATGGCTTCCTAAAACGAAGATCAACTGTCACGAGTTAGAGTTTACTAGTCACTTTTTCAAGACTTTCTCTAGCGGCAGTTGCGGATGTCGTCATGATCTTAGTAAAGCGTTTGATTTAGTTAACCACTTTTTCAAACTCCAGGCCTCTGGCGTCCCATTGCACTTAATGAAACGGATAAGCTCTTATCTGCAAAATCGGTTGCTTCTGTTATCCTTATCTTCTCTTGAGAAACACTATTATTCTTCTCGGTATCTCCTTCTTAATCAAGTTAGTTAATAGCACTATCGATTCGTCCACATTACTTAGTGAGATAAGCTTTAATGTACCCAACCGCTTCTCTAGGCACTTTATTTTCATTAACCAGGGTCAATGTAAATATACTTACGAACTTTTTAACCCGTTTACGGTTTTTTGCAGAAATTTGAATGATGCTTATCGCTTAATTTCAATATCGGGTTGTTTAAAGTTTATCAAAACAACTAGGCTTAATACGCGCGATTTGCCTACGTGGTATTTAAACTAATTTTTAACCTTAATATTTCCTTATGATTCGAAAATTAATTGACATTGTTTACTTTATCTGTTGCCAAGCTTTTGCATATTTGAAATGGCTTATGGGTTTACTTGCTACTTGGATTGTTGTAGGGGTGCCTTCTTGCTTTTTGTGTCCATGTTTTTTTCTCTCTTATTTGTTTAGATATGAATTATTATTTAATTCCTTTTTCACTCGCATTGTTTGTATGCCGCAAAGGAATTAAACATTCACCAAGAAGTTTTTAGCAATTTTGATCTTAAATCTCCGTGGGTTTTGAACGGCTATTCTAATTCACATTTCGCTTTTTATTTACAAGGATGCTTAAAATTACGTCTTTAGGAATGTGGTTGAAGCAAAATCTAAAACACTGGAATGTGACGGTTGGCTTATTTCTTATACAAGCGGCTCCAAATCTAACGGTATGCCGCCTACCTATGCCGTGATAGATGCCTCAGGACAAGTTTTGCTTAACCACATAGTTCACGAAAGTGCTTTGCGTTTCACAATCGTACCTATCCTCAAGCTATCCTCAAGCTATGAACCTTGCTTATAAAAACAAATTCGCAACTGTTAAAAGTTATGAGGAAACCCTCGACTGTGAGCTGGGGCAATATAAAACAATTAAGGTCTCTTTTCCAAGAGTCGGTGACCTGCCGGTGCTCAATTTGTTCTTAGTTAGTCAAATAATTCATTTCCTTAGTTCAAAAATGTTATAATAACAATAATAATTTAAAGTATAAGTAACCATATCATAATAATTATCTTTTTTTGCAATAAAATACTTTTTTTTATTAAAAATATATTTTTTTCGCAAATAATGGCATAGAATCATCTTCCAATTGAGACAACATTACATGCTGAAATAGTACTATTTAGCCACTTTTGCCGAGGAATTTTGAAAATTGCAAGTTTTTTCCGTATAACGACTTTCATAATGGGGTGTTATATGGGAAGTGGTCGAAAAAGTGGACCGATCCGAAGTAACCATTCGTCCTGGTCAAAACACGTCATTGTGCCAAATTTCATGAAAATATCTCAAAAATTCCGACCTGCAGCTTGAGCGGAAATGTACATTGTTAGACATCAGACGGATAGACAGGTTTAGATCGATTAAGCATTTGATTCTGAAACGATCGGTACAATAAGAGATCGGTCTGTCATAAGCCCTCCCCCGTGTTACATACGTCCGCACATACTTAATACACCCGTCGCAGAAATAAACAAGCGCAAGCTCTCCTTAATCGATTAAGAAAATAAGGCTAAAAATGGGCATGTTTTATTCACATACACGGCGCAGAAAAAACTAAAACGATACAGGAAAACCACGATAATTGTTTTAAATTTTGGCTCATAACTCTCGGTCCCGTGATTATATTCCTGAAAAGCTCTGTGTATAGGAATTTATTGCGGCCGTATGCTCGAAAAAAACAAGACAATAATGTTCGTCGTTCAAGGACAAGTAAATCATAAAGAGAACATGCAGTATTCCACCCGCACATTGAAGAGCTCTGTATGAATACAGAAATCGCCGAATTTATTGTTAAACGTATTGTCGTATTTTGCAACTTTTTAAATAGGCGTAACGGGAGGTTTTGTCTGAAAAATTTTATGGAGTGTAAATCGAAAGATATAGTTGCCCACTATAAGCGAATACGTTATGTCTCTTCATACCAATTGCGAGCACTTTAAAAATAGCTGAACACCTATTACGACTTAAATAAATACAATATGGCAAATATATTTTAAATTGGAAATTTGCCTTTATTGCTTGTTGTTCTTTTTTTTAAATTTAATATTTAATTTAAATAAAAATAAAAAAGTCATATAATATACGAAACAATATTTAAATTACTACAAAATAAATACAAATTAGATAAATAACTACACCTGGTAGAACCTGTTCATTGTGTGTAAAGCCCGTCTACTCACAGGATTCACGTTACAAACATTTGTAAGAAAAAGAGAGAGAGTATCTTTGATGTTATAGTATACGCTTTATAAATATTAGCGCTTACTGACTGCCAGTTACAAGTTTTTACGACTTAAGCAACGCACTTACGCTACATTCCATGCAAACGTAGTAATTATTTTGTGAACAGTGACCCTCGCCCACCCTGTGTAGATGCAGACGACAGTTACGTCAAGGATTCATGCGCACTATTGGAGTACTATTGGCAGTAGCTAGCTGCCCTAACAAACGCTGCCGACCGCGATAACAAAGGGATGAAGCGCTCGAGGCCGTCTGTCCTGATCACTCAGTGCAGCCAACAGCTATGGCCAAGGGCTAATGCGGTTGTGATTATGCTGTGAAAGCACTAGCTAATATTCGCACAGACTATGTCTGTAGATTTTCCAGGAGGTTTATGATACGTTCGAGGTATCGCCTTTGGGGTAATCCGCTTTGCTACATACTTTCGCAAGCGACAGTGAGATAAAACCTAAGCTACAACAGTTAAGGGAAACGATCAGTTAGAGCTAATGACGTTTGAAAAATAATGCGTTTTGCTGCGCCCTTTATATCGTCACAGCCATATTCATGTTTTGAATTTGGTGGGAAATAACGTAAGGATAACTTAAGCTAACTTTATGTAATACCCATAGTAAATATTTACAGTTATAACTTATAAGAGAAGAACTCATGTCGACATAAAATGAGAAATAAAGAGTATAGATGAATGCAGTAATTGTAATAAAATATCTGAATAATATGAAATATAATAATAATGTAACATTGAGAATAATAAAGACCAATATAGTGTAATCTTATAATGTGATGAACTTTAATGTTTGAGGATATGTTGATAACATAAAATATTTGAAATATAATATCAGATCTAGAATGTAATATTGTGTGTATATCAAGTTAATAATGAAGAACTGTATAAAATGCCAACAATATTATACATACTGACAGTGTAATATGACCTATACATATTTATATTATAAAGTGATAAAGGTACATTATAGAATGGCATAATGTTGTACAGGCTTAGGGCAAAATATATGCATTTGTACATTGTAATGTCCGCGAATAAACTTAGGGTAGGGTGTCGGTCGGTCCATGTCAGCCTAAAGTATTGCAATAACGGCATCCCGTTATGCAAAATCGCATGATTTTGGGGTATACTGTCCTTTTTTTGCAAAAGTAGCGGCGGGCCGCTATATAGCAACATAAAGCAAAAGAAAAAAAGGGAAAAAGAAAAAGATCATGCGAAGAGTACAGGCAGTCTGAGTTTGGATTGCCTAAAGTAAATGACTAACACAGTGTGCGGACTACGCGAAATTTTTATTGCAATTAGATCAATATGTGTAAAAGGGATTGCGATTAACTTCAACCTTATTTAATGAATAATAAAATTTAAATGTTTTGCAAGACACAGCAGTGAATCTAAATAGGAAACGAAATATTGAATTAAAGAAAAAAAAAGGGAATCTTAGTAAAAGGGGTGCTCGAAAAGTTTCATTTATGTATCATAATAAAAAAAAAAGAAAAAAACAAATCAAAAATCATGCGGACAAATCAGTCTGAAAATAATTGTAATCAAAATTTAAAGAAGAAAGAAAAAAATGAAAATAAAAAAAAGAAAAATATATTCGAATTAAAAACCTTCTGTGTGGACACACACACAGTATAAATATAGCAGTAAAAAGAAACAATGGAAAGATTCCTTTAAAACTAACTGTAAATTAAAGATGTACAGAAATACACTATGAAAATTAAAAATATTAGTTTTGAGGAAGTGCGTGGAAGTGATTTCGTCAGTGAAAAATATGCTCACTCAAGGAATCAAATCTACAAATAGTGTCTAAGAAACTCGACGGTGACATAAAAGATTCCTCATAATGGTAACAATTGCTTAAGCTAGTAGCACGTCGTAGCAAGGATTTAAATCATACATTTCCATGGTGAACCTTACCAAAGTGTGCGATTGGTCTGTTTATTTTTTTTTGTGTGATCTCTGCATTCATGATGAGTAAAAGCCGTACACATACAT